AGCCGTGGGAAGTCGACTCTGAACTTTACACGAACTGTACACGACATTGTCACTACATGCTCAACAAACCTTGGATAGAAAACAGAGGCGCCTCATCATCGTCCGCTAGCAGGAGCTTCAATACCTGCTCCGAAGTGATGGTGCACCACGCTTTCTTCGGCTTGGGGTTTCGACATTGGTCGGCCCCCGCGAAACCTAGAGGCATCAGGCTTTGGTGAAGGTCCCGGGTGTCAGGGGCTAAATAAAGGCCACAGGCATCCCACCAAGAAGAAGTCCTCCAAGCCAGTCACTCTGACAGGTACCAGTACCGGCCGAAGACATTGGCCACCAGCATCAATCGCCAGCGATCCTGTGACAGGCACCTGGCCTGCGCCACAAGGCCAGCGCAGCCCGTTGCCTGTGCTCTGGAAAGGGAGCGAGGCTTTTAGGCTTTGGCCACGCCAGAGCAGGACAAGGCGGAGAAGCAGGAAGCGCCCGAAGGACCGGGCCGTGGCCAGGGTCAGGAGCAGCTCCACCGCGGTGGGTTTCAGCTCAGGACTCGGTGGAAGGCGCAGATGGTGCGGGGAACTCAGGAAGAAAGGCTTGGGGTTTGGGGGGCTCCGGCATTCTTCTTTATGGCTAACAGCATCTTGGAGGTTTGGCAGTATCGGAGTCTGAGCAGCCGACAACATCTCGAGAAGCTCCTGCACATTAGCTGCACAGCCAAAATAAGGGTTTCACTGAATGTCGGGATGCGCGGAACTGCACATGGGCTCGCTCCTCTATTGTCTCCGCCGTCTGCGTCACAGCACTTCGCGCAGCGCTGCCAGTGGGAAGTGAGAGGGGCGCCTTGCACAGCAAACACAAACGATCGCCATGAGGCTCCCTAAGCCCGGAAGCTCAGCCGACAACCCGCCACCGCCCGCAACCCGCTGTGGGATTGAGGGTCTTGCCATCCGAAACACTAAACTCCAAACCCTAACTTGAAAGCCTCGAAGAACGAATCTCAAACCTATAGGTCCCGGACCACTTGCGCCAAGGTCTTCGTCGCTCGTGCCAATAGCCGATCGAAGGCAAACGACCGAGGCCCATCGCCCTCGGGTGGAGTGCTTCCAAGGGGTGAAAGGATTGGGGGGCTTTGGGGCCCATGAGAAAGCGCATGTCGGATTTCGGGGAAGCGGGTCTTCGGCACTTGGTGCAACCAAGGCGAGGCACCCCACAAAACATGACTTCTTCTGAATTGCATGGATGCCGACAACTTGTCCAGAACTTCCCAAAAAGCAGAAAGGCAAAGACCCCTCACCCAACCCCATTTCAAACCCCCCCGAGTTCCTGCCTGCGGGATGCAGGCAGCGAGCTCCAGGACGGAACCCAGAGCCACCTGCGCCAAAGGGCGTCTTGAGTTTCTCCCATCCATTAGGCTTTAAAGACTCAGAGCTTGAGCTGAGGGCTTTCTCAAGGCTTTGTATGACCTGCATGGGGCGATAACGCGCCTGAACCCACACCTGCGTGGAATCCGTGTCCTGCAGGACAGGAAGTGACTCCAACTACGAGATCAAAGACTTGATTGAAATGCTGGACGCGCATGGACCCGCAACTTCACTGAAGCCTTGTGCTCTTGGGTTGAGGGTCATTGAGGGCTGAGAAGGCTCAGTGGCCTCTGGGCTTTGGGTTCAGGGTTTGAGGGCTCTGAAATGCTGTCCATTGCTGTCCGGTCCTCCTCCCACGATGTCTCCAGCAGTGAACTGGCCTGGCTTTCCTGCTGCAAGCCGATTTGGGTTTTCATTGGAGGACTTGGGTGCAGGGCGTCAAGGGTTGTTCAGGGCTTCGGTTTGTAGGATTTTGGTTTCAAAGTTATCCGTTTAAGTGAGGTTGTTCGGATTCTTTGGACAGCATGCCCTGGACCGTGCGGTAGCTATGGGCGTGACTCAGCATTTGAATTTGGGGCGCCCGGCGAGCTTCGAGTTTAGGAACTGGAAGCTGTAGGGCTGGGGATGCATATAGTGTTTGAGGTTCAAGGGAGGCAGTCCTGTATCTGCTCGTATGCAAGCAGATGTCTGTACACAAGTGCGCCAAAACCTCCTAAACGCTCAACCCCTGAATAATTTGCTCAAGACGGCCTTGAATACAGGCATTGAAAGATTCGAACCTCAACTTCGTTGTCCAGCTGGAGGGAAAAGTCTGACAGAGCCTGGGCTCAGGGAAGGCCCCATCGCCAATGAAAAACTGAAAAGAACTCTGTCCGGGTCTGTGGGTGCCGGGGCCACGAAGGACACGGCACGGGTGAGAGCCCAAGACCCAAGCCCTGAACACTTGCCAAACAATCTTGCTAGCCGAAAACTCCAAAACCGAGGACCCCAAGGACCAGACTTGTCGAAGATGACACCGGTGCTCGCAGCGCAAGGTCTTGGCCAAGCGTCGTCGAAGTGCTGCGGCCTGCCAAGCAGCTTACAGCCTCAATGAGAAGCTTGCCTAACAACTGCTTTGCATGCCAACCGATTCGGCTGCAGTTGTGTTGCTTTTGGTGTGCCCGTATTCCTTCTGTGGGAACCCTCCACAGTTGCGGACTCGAGTCTAAGGACGTTTGGGCCGTTTGGGGTTGTGGCTTCAGGGTTCAAAAATGTTCAGAACCCCCTGGAGTCACTGTGTCCTCGCACACGGACGCGGCCAGTGACACGGCCTGAAGCTTTTTGACTTTGGGTCCGACACTTTTGGGGGGGGGTGGGGGGGCTTGGATCCTATCCTCCCAGTTTCCTGGACACCCAACGTTCGCTCCCATTTCCACTCCAAAAAGTCCCCCCTAAAACGAGGCCCAAGGCTTAGCTGGACCTTTGCTTTGTCAGTGCTTCGGGTTTTAGACACCATACACAACCCGCCCTATAGACCCCCATCCCTCCCTCGAACAAGCCCTGGCTTGACACCGGAGTTTACAGGAGTTTGGGGAAGCTTGAAAGTTTAAGTGCTTGAAAGGTGGGTTTCGCCAGTTAGCCCATGACCCCAAAAGCAAGACCTTGCTGTGCTCCCGGGCAGGGTCCGTGGGCGTGGGTGCAAACCACGCGCAGAGCTCTGCAAAGAGCGACTGCGGCAAGACTGGAGGAACGTTCAGCTTTGGGTGAAGGATGCAATGCTGAGATCTCCAGGGTTAGGTAAGGCACTTCAGGCTGTGAATCTTCAGACCTCCTAGCTCATCCGAGGGGCCTGGCCGCTTGCCTCCAGGAAGCCCTTATCCGAGTCCTGCTGCCTTTCCAGATGTGCAGGCGTTGTAGCTGCGCTCAGGACATATTCGTGGGGCCTCCGATCGGGATTGAAAATTCCAGCACGAAGATCCCAAGGTCATGAATCCCAAGTGCAACCCCGACTCATTCCTAAAACCCCCAGGTAGGAAGCACAAGCTTAAGCACTGCTACTCCAAGCCCCGAGGTCATCCCTAAACCCTGAATTCCCGGACTCAGGGCACTCCTTCTGTCCACCGTGCTTGCCGCATAGTCAGCGTCATGGACTAAGGCCGGCAGCTCGAAGAGCTCCTCGTTTGGGGCTTTATTGTAGAGTTCTGCAGGGGGGGGGGGGGGGGGGGGGGGGTCAAGGGGGGTCAATCCAAGGTTCCTCACTCCTCCCCAAGGCTTCCGAAGCTTCCCTAAGGTTCCCAAGATTCCTACCCCCCATGAACCTCCCTGCCTTAAGAACCCCCATAATTCTAGGGCGTTTCGCGTGTTTCTTCTCCTTTGCTGCATTCTTGTTTGAAGGGGTCTCGAGGCGTTGAACTCGTTGTCAAGTTTTTGGGCTCGGCTCAACTTCGGCTCAACATGCAACCGACGAAATCTCGTCACGCACATGCGGCTTAAGCCTTGAAGTTTAACAAGTTCACCTGAAACCCCTAGAAACACCCTTAGTACGGCTCCGGACCCCGCATGAGCCCTTGAGCCATAACCACTAGATGAGCGGACCTCGCCGAGTCGTATCTCGAGGATGGGTCGCGTGATGAGGAGGACGTCGTCGCCTGGCATCGGGTTTCCTGGTCCTGGGCACTGTTCAGGGGTTCTACTGCGAGGCTGCATTGGTTTGAAGGGCCACAAAGGGGCAAGAAAAGGATGGTCTCTAACTCTGATGCAGCTGCCTTCCTGAACCTTCATCAAAGGAGCATGCCCCCAAAAAACATCCCGAGCCTCAAGGGTTAAGGGCTCAACTGATGAAGCTGCTGCCAGCTCAAGCCCAGCCCACCTTCGACTTCCACAGCGCCATCTGGACTGATCCTTTTGGCTGTTCGGGGGTTTTGGGGCTTGGGCTGCAGGCTTTAGGGTTGAACCCGAACCTCAAATCACACGTGCTGGCCATACCTCCCTGCCCAAACAGGCTTCGGATCAAGGATTGGGCTTGGGCTACTGAATTACACTCTTGGGGGAAAGACATCAGGCTGGTTTTGGGTTGTTTTGGGCTGAGGGGCTTAGGTGACTGTAGCAGCATGGGCCAGTTGGACAGCCGCACGCCCAAAGAGCTGGCTAGTGAATGGCTCCTTCTGAAAACACGAAGAGCAATCTTACACATCTTACACTCTTCAACTCGCTTCCCGATTTCGAGTGCTGTCCTGACTGTCGCATCGCCCAGAACGGCTCCGGGCCGCTGGCTCCTGCTGCAAATGCACCCCCAAGAACCCCAACCCCCTGCTGCCTGAGCAGAAGCAGGGCCTCTGGGGCACAGAAGACCCGTCTCAACAGGAAAGAAATCTCAAAGTCGCCCCTTCACCCCCCATATGCTGGACTCTAAGCCCTTCTTTCCGAAATTCCTGCGCGCGTCTTCGCAAGACTTTGGGAAGCCTCTCGTTTTGAAGGGCCTCCCGAAGCCTCAATGGCAGTGGTTCAGCGAATAGGCTTTGAGGCTCGAACGCTGCAGAATGCAGTCTTCTGAAGGCTCAAAACCCCAAATGAAGCAGCTCCATGCCCTCGACCCTCTTGAGTCTGTACAGGCTTCTCGACAATGAGGCGCTCCTTGAAATATGCTTTACCGGTCACGAAAGCCCTTCAAAGCTAACACAAAGAGCAGTGCTCGCTTGGACTTCCATCCTCTGCTGGCAGATCCTGTGAAGATCCTGGATCTCCTTCTGAGGCTGGGGGCTCTGGGGGCTCTGGGGGCTCTTCTCCTGATGCCTCTGTTGTGGAGTCCAGAACCGGTGGTGGCCCCGCAGCATCAGCATCCCGCGAAGAGCGCGGAAGTGGGGAAACAGCTCCCATCTCCTGTGCCATCACACGAAGCTATGTAGGGCGAAGTATGTAGGGCTTGGGGCGGAGGGGGTGTCAGGAAAATTGGAACAACCCCATCTGGTGAGAAGCCATTTTGCGACTGAATGGGCCTGAGTTTGCGGCAGGCCAGGGTCGGACGACGAGCGAGGCCGCAGAAGACTTGGGCGCTCTCGCGCCGCTTCCTCGGAATCGGCACGACCTCACACGGGGAATCTAGAGCTTTCATGTTTAGGTGCTATAGGGGGCATGGGGGCTCGAGTGTTCTTCCTCGCGCCTTCCTTGCTGGGACTTGGCAGCTCACAAGCGGAGCCAGCAGCTTTGGCCGAGCCGTCCTCAAGGCACATATGGCACATGTGATGCTGAACTTTGACTAAGGATGTTGCCTCGCTTGATGCGTGGGTTGAAGAGTATGAGGTCCCCGGTCCCCGGGCCCCACTCGGCCTACCCTAACATTTTCAAGAATCCTCCACCTTCAAGACCCAAGCCTCCATGCGGTCACTCCCTGAAGCCCTTTGGGCCTCGCAGAGGACGGGGTCCGACCACGACCGCAGCTGGCCAAGCCTTGCGCCTTCCACGCGCCCTGCGACAGCTGTTTGGAGCCCGCGGTGTCTCGGGATGTCTCGGGATGTTTCGGGACGTTTCGGGGGTCTAGCTTGGGCCTGAGATTCTCAGGGTGCTCTCTGGTTGCCTCGGCTTGGGATGGCTGAGGGAAGGTCTGGGAATTCGGATGTTGGAGCGCGCCGTCGAAGGGGAGAGAGGACGTGGAAAAAGACCTCAAAGCCTTTTGTGGCTCATGGCCGTGCTTTTCGTGAAGAGGGACCCCAAACTCAAAGCCCCTATCCCTGAAGCCCAGAATTCAGGGGGTCACCCTAAACGCCTCAATCCGGTAAACGCGCAAATCTAAACTCTGAACCGAATCCACCTTCACATGCAAGTCAGATCCCGGCGGGCCTCCCTCACAAGGGGCCAGCGCTTGGAAAGAAGGGCAGCCGGCTTCTGACCCTGGCTCCTGAAACGTCTGGGGGGGCCTACGCGGTGAATTGGGCAAAGGGCTCGGAGCCTGACTTCCCAAAACGCAGTGCACTTTGGGCCTGGTTTGACTCGCGCAGGCGCCGGAGGCGGCCCTGCACGCAGGAGCGGAAATCCGTCTGGGCGTGTAGACTTGAGGATCTTGGGGAATGGGAGCATGGAGGTTTAAGCCTTGCGCCTGTGGGTTTAGGTGACTCCTCTGGCAAGCCTTGTCCGATCATACACTGCCAACAACACCAACGTAAACTATCCTAGGCCCGAGAGATCGATCCCTGAGCAACAATTCTTTCGGAGTCGAGCAGGGGGTCCCATGAAACAGAGTACGGCGCGTGGGAGTAGGATTCTTGGAATGTGGACTCTCGCTCGAGATCTAATGAGGTCCACCTCCAGCAAACGTTTGTCCACCAGTTCGTAGATGTCTTCCTGGGCTGAGCCCATTGTGTTCTTGACGTTTAGGACTAGGGCCTGCGTGCCAAAGCTGCGTGCGCTACCCCGAGTACAACCTGAACCCTGCACTGCCCTAAACTGCAACCTTAAATCGCCCAGATTCAGGAAAACCGGGCTCTGCCATCGCGAGGGCAAGCTGTTCCAGATAATCCTCTCCGCGAGTCTAGGACTGCCAAGACTCACAGGTCCAGGGTCAAGGGGGGAGAGCTTTGTGGTTGCGCAGGTGGCAATTCCGCAATATGTTGGGCGCTGAGAGCGCTTTGGATTGCGGATGCTTGCGCTTCGGGTTTGCGCCTCAGGGGTTTGGAGTTGCGAGGTTCGGGCACTCACCTGAATGTAGATCGAGAGGTCGCCCCTCGCACGATTCAGCCAGGACCACCAGCTGGGAAAAAGGCCCGAGAGCTTGAATTTCTCGTACCTGGGTTTCGCACACAAAATCTTTGGGCCTCGAGAGCTGACCCCAAGGCTACCAGGTGACAGATGCTGAGATGACTCGAAAGTTAGGAAGCGCGTTGACATGTCTTTAAAACCTGGGCGGGTTGTTGCAGTTCAGTCGAGAGAAAAGCATGGATACAACTTGCCCGTTATCCGTTTCACCGCAGCAAGCCTTCCGATGCCTTGAAGATCTGAAATGCTACGAAGGCCTCCCACTCGTTTGGCAAGGCGCAGCTCCTCGCTGAAGCCGTCCTGAAGACTCGGGTCGTCTCGGGGCTCTGGGGCTGTTAGGTCGGAGCCCCGTGATTGCAGTGAATTTCCTTTTCCTTTGTTTTTGTATTTTCCTGCTTTCCGTTCAGCTCGGCATCTTTGCTGCCAGAGGCAGGACTCACTAGATGGCTGCTGTTTTGGTAGCATGGGATAGTGTGTGAATTTGCGCAAATCCAGTCGAAGATGCTGTTGCAAGGTCTATGGCTGCTGGTCTGAAACGTTCGAAACTGACGTCCAGGCTTCTGCACGCCTGCCAGTGTTTTTCAGCCTTTCAGCCTTCAGTCCTTCGGATACGCAGAAACGTGAATCGGCACATTCACGGCAGCGAGATGTCTCCAGAGGCCTTTAGGTGTCGGGGGTGTAGGGCCATGCTTTGCTGCCCGGCTTGCTGCTTGAGGGCACTAGGCTCACGGTTGGGGTCCTTCACCTTCGCGTGCAGCTGATCGCGTAGAACCTCGAATCTAACCAAACCCACTCGTCGTTGGGAGGCCCTGGGGCCATCAAAAGGCTGCAGATGCACCTCGAACTTCTCGAACCTTAAGCGCCTGATTGTAGCTTGCAATCCCAAAGCCACAAAACACTCCAAGAGGGCTTAAGTCGGCGTTGAAGGATCTTTATGGGCTGTACGGTGTTTCTCGGAGCTTTTGTTTCAAGCTGGTTTCAAGCGTGAGGCATGCAGCCCTCACTGCCAAACTCCAGCAACAGCCTAGTCCAGCCGACAAAAAGGACATCGCTGCAGTCAATCTGGAGCATGCCAACCCTCCTTTGCAAAGCGGTGACCCAGCTTTGCGGAACATGGGGCTATCTCACTCAGCTCGGTGAAGAATACCTCACTTCCGACCTGATGTCCCGATGCTTTGCGGCTGTTGACAAGACGGCCCCTTCGGGATTTTGCTCAAGCCGAACTCCATGAACTTAACGGTTTAAAACTTGACGCCTTCTTGTGCTTGAACCCAGGGCTTCGGGGGGTGAAGGATTGGGCATCTACCGTGGCAATGGGGCTTGCTGCAAGCATCGCTACAATCAGCGATGCTTTCTCCATTGCTGGCCCAGCCACAGACAGCTCTAGTTTATGCATCGTCTGCCCAGATACCTCGCAAGGAGGCATGTCATGTCAAGGGGCAGCTGAATGTGCACAAGATCTCGAAATCGTCTTCGTCAGTGGGGGTTGGTTCTGAGCTGTTCGGGTCTGAACTCATGAGGAAGCGGATGGGCTCATGTAGCCACGGAAATGCCAGAGACAATGTGAAACAGCAAACCGGAAGCAACGAGAAAGGCAGATGAGAGCAAGGAACCCTTAGCCCTCAGCCTCAACGGCCCAACACACAGATTGACCTCATCACCGCCAACGAACTCACCCAACTTGCTAGGGTTTGGGTTGGGGGTTGGTATGGGTTCGGGGATTTGCAGTTTTCCCCATGCCAACGGCCCGCGGCGCCTTTGTGGGCAAGCGCACCTCTGAGAATGCGGAGGTGCAGACGTGTTCATGGAGTCTTTTCTGAGGCTAAGCCACTAGCTGACTGAGTCTTGCAAGCTTAGACTCGAGACATCATTCCACGAACCCCTAAGCCTTCAGCCCCGAATTCTCCAATCGAAAAAATTCTGAAAAACGTCGACAGGCAGGAGAAGTTCAAGGATCAAGGGTTCACCAAGTTCATGCAGTTTAGGGGCTTCTGTCCTGAAGGCCAAATTTCGAAATATGACCACAAAAAGAGCAGCCACTGAGTAGCCGAGCCACAACCGAGAGGACCTCGAAGACGGGCTCCAGCGGAAACTCACTCTCGATCACCTCCTTCTGCATTTGCACATGGTAAAGTGCAAACAGCATGTCAAGCCCTTCACATATCCCCGATGTGAACATATGAGTTCCATAATCATGAATCTCCAGGACAACTCCTACGAGAAAATTGACCGCAGTAGCAAAAAACAGCTATTAAAAGACCACTCATAACCCCCTCAAAATCATGCTCATACACAACAAACCCAGTCGTGATCATCAAAACCAAAACCACAGTAAAAGAAGTGTTTGGTCGCAAAAAGAACTGTAATAATCGTAGTAACCATAAACATTGAAACAATGGAGCGAAGAATGGCAATAGTATGCAATCATAATCAGCTATAGAAGCAACAATAAAAGACAGTCATCGTAGAAGCAAGAAGGGTTATCAGAGAAATAGTCATAGCAATGACAACAACACATGAAATGACAACGATCATGGCAAGAATTAACGCAATAATCGAAAAATCGAGAGTACGCATAGCAACAACAGTTACTGGCTTTATGTTACAATTATCACAACAGGAAAAGTACTAATAATAAATTACACAATAAAACAAATACCACAGGAGGAAGTGCAACAGCAATAATTTGAGGGGCAAGCCGCCAAGGTCACACACAAAGCTACTGTGGATGGACAAAATCTTGCACCACGAATCAGAAACATCTTTTTGTGGGATGTGAAAAGCTACCGGCCGGATTTGCTCCAATGGCCGAAATCTTGCACCGCTCAAGTAGTCCTAGCCGCCAATATTAAGCAAGAGGTGCGGGGCTTGATGCCTCAATCGTGTGAAGTACAGGTGGTGCAAGATTTCGTCCATCTGGAAGTTCCCTCTTCTAAGGTGCAAGCATTCGGGACACACGACACAGCAATTCATTCCATCTACAATAAACAGCTTAAGAAACGGTATTCCTGCAAATGCAGCAAATGCAAAATGACAGCCAACACTCAGTCAACACTACAGGCAACACTGCGAAAATGCTGGAAGGTCCAGCATTTTGCTGTTCTGGACATTAAGAACTAAGAATCCGATATTTTTCTTTTAAAACGAGTGAATTGTAGGATCTGCTGGTTTTCCCAGGGCTTTCGTAGTGTTGACTGCAGTGTTGACTGAGTATTTTTGACTGTAATTTTGAACATATCTGAGGCATTTTGGGAGCAAAACTGCGTCCCAGCAAAGTTAGCGTCGTTGAAGCCATGGCTAACCACTCACGCTCGTACCACATACTCGGCAACACTCGCTGAAAGGGACTGTGGATGGACAAAATCTTGCACCACTAATCAGAAACGTCTTTTTGTGTCCCCGGCTGTGAAAAGCCGGATTTGCTCCAATGGCCCAAGGGATGCCTCAGTCGTTTGAAGTGCGCATGTACAGGTGGTGCAAGATTCCCGCGTCTACAGCAACTGGAAGCTCCTTGATCTAGGGAGCAAGCATTCGGGACACACGACACAGCAATTCATTCCATCTAGAATCGACGCTACTCTCAACACTGCCAAAATGCTGGAAAATCTAGCGTTTTGCTGTTCTGTAAAAAGCTTAAGAAACGGTATTCCTGCAAATGCAGCAAATGCATGCAAAATGACAGTCAACACTCAGTCAACACTACAGTCAAAACTGCGAAAATGCTGGAAAATCCCGCACTCTATCCATGCCCAACACACTGGTATTCACTGGTATCTTTCTACGACATGCTGCAAATGGATGTTGACGCTCCCTCTTAAACTCTAGCCTTGCCCTGCCGAGGTATTCGTGTGGTTTGGGGTTTAGCCTATAAGGTATGGGCTTTCAACCTTGTTCTTTGCTCTTTCGGACATTGCGGAGTTGGAAGGATTCTTTGGGTTCAAAAGGTTGTTAAAGTCCACTATAACAGCAAAAGTCCTTTTTCCCCAAAGTATTTTTGGCAGGTGTTGTCCTTCCTAAAGGCCTTATGATTCGGTGGCCCTGCCAGCATTTTTTGCACTTTGCCGTGCTAACGCATCATTTTTTGCATGTTCCATACACGCGAAATGCAGAGAGGGTGCTCAATTTGAACGGAGCCTCCTACACACGCGTGTCCTTGTAGTAGTCCTAATAGTAGAAGTAGAAGTAGAAGTAGAAGTAGAAGTAGAAGTAGAAGCAGTAGTAGCAGTAGCAGTAGCAGTAGCAGTAGCAGTAGCAGTAGCAGTAGCAGTAGCAGTAGCAGTAGCAGTAGCAGTAGCAGTAGCAGTAGCAGTAGCAGTAGCAGTAGTAGTAGTAGTAGTAGTAGTAGTAGTAGTAGTCGTCATAGCAGTAGCAGGAGCAGTAGTAGTAGTAGTAGTAGTAGTAGAAGTAGTATTGTTGAGCTCTTTTCCTAATCTTGTCCGGACCTCGGAGGCCACGTGCCACGCGCGACCATCTTGCCCCACGTCATAGACGCGGAAGGCGCAGTTTGGCGGATGCGGCTGGTAGTTGAAAGCCGTCTGCATGATTCCTGTCTTCCCGGGCGGCCCTAGCAAGCAAGCATGCTCTAGATAATAAAGCCACAACCTTACCCTACACCCGACCCTCAGAATATGATGCCCAACACGACTACCCCAGCGTGCACCAAGGAAGGTTCACAGCCGAAGTGCTCGCGCACCGAGCCCTTTGCAAATCGAGACCTCGCTGGGCAACTCCAGCTTCGAAGCACTGCACTTGGGCGGAACTTGGGCGTAGCGGCGCTAAAGAAAGCTTTACCCTTTCAGGATGGGGCTCCGCCGTGCGTGATCATCAGCACGTTCAGCGGCCATCCCCAAGTGATCTGCAAGCGCCCGAGCCTCACATTTTAGGAAATTGATTTGTAGGGTTATGGAAGTTGGGGAAGTCAGGGAAGTTAGGGGGCGGAAAGGGCGGTTGGCATCTAGGGGATGAGGTGGGGACGTGCTCGCCAGCCCCTGCCATGAGCCGTGGCACCACTTCTTGAGGCGTCCAGCCCGTCGCCGGAAGGAGCTCGCAGTTTCCTGGAAAGCTGCTGTTGATTGCCCAAGGATCCCAAAGATCCCACAAAGACCTCAACGTCCCCATACCTAACAACCGACTCAAACCCTAAAAATACCAAAGTGCCTCAGAGTGAGGGCCGTGGTGCCACCACCTGGGCTTTAGAGGTAGCTGCGGATACTGTTTTTCTAGGGTCCGAAAGGTTGAGCCAGTTGCTTGTCGCAACAATGGGCTGGGGGTTGGCAAGCAGCAAAAGAACTGCCTTGAAGGGCCAGGCAGTAGGGGTGCACGAAAACAATGCAGTAGAACAACAGACTTCTTGCCGAGGATCACATGCTGGCACGTTCTGCATGGGTGGCAATAAAAAGGATCCACACAATCCGCCGGGACACTTGCCATCATGATCTGTGTTCGATGCGCCCACACGTCGGGTGATGCAGTAGGTGTCCTCTGCAACTTTGGGTCGAGCCAGGTGCCCTACGTCTAGGCGCCCTGGGCACCACTGTTGGTAGCGACAGAACAATAACTCGGTGGCCTGGTAGTGTTCTATAAAATGCTATTTGGGCTTTGGCGGGGGAATGGTCGGCTTCCAGGCCGCTTTCGCGAGGGTTCGGGCGCGGGCTTGCTTGGAGTGTGTGGTTGATTGGGGTTTGAGAGGAGGTATAGAGGCTTTGAGAATGCGGACCGAGATGCTACATCCCGGAAGTCGAAAATTCCTTGGTCCACGGCAGTTCGTCCACTCTGGAGATTCTTGGGCTCCTAAAATTGCAACACCTTTGATATGCAGTTTCGTTTTAGACTTCACACCCTGAGATCAGCAAGCGGTGCGCGCTTCTTTGATGGTGAGCTCCTAAAAGTAAGCGGTGCGCACTTCAATCCCCTCTTCGAGTCCTTTCCGAAGGGAGTCTTTGCGTTCGAGTCTAGAGAACCCTCCGCTGATCCCTCTTTTGACTCGACTGACTCATGTTGGCTCTGTGAGACTAAGACTTAGAGGTCTGCTGGCTGACAGCCAAGTTTGTTGCAAGTTCTCGTCTGGCTCACATAGTTGAAGACAAAGATGGGCCCCCCTGCAGTTTAGCCGGATTGCTACAAGCGTTGCAGTTGCAACCATTGTAGTCGGACCATCTCACGATACGAAAGCCTCCTTGCCCAGCCAGCAGCTCTATTTTTAGTTGCGCGGCCTGCTTTGCAGGTCGAGTTGGGTTCAAAAGGGAAAAAACACGCCAAACCCTACTTTCACGAACGCTTGGGCTTTAGGAGATACAGGAGATACAGGAGATCATGAACAGTCCTGACAGGGCTGAGGCTTTCAGGGTTGCGTTAGATGCTTGTTCTTGTGGTGTTGGGTGCTTGGATTGAAGGCCTAAGTCGTTTGGCGTACTATGTTCTTGCGAGCTTGAGGCGTGCGGAACCATTGGATGGAATCCCCATTGCGCACTTGACAACATCCCGTGCATCACAAACCCTAGAGATGTCCCCTTAAGATCCAGATCAATGAGACGGCAAACTAGATCCTTGCCCCAAGTCCTTCGCCTCAAGGGCGCGGCCGCCTCCAGTCCATCAAGTGCTGGGTTGAACAGGCGCCAAGCGCGAAGGCAGCACCCAAGACGGCGATACATGCACAGGCAGCAGAAGAAGCCAGGCCGTAACTTTGGGCAATAGCTGTGACTTGGAATGAGGCATACAAGAACGCCACCACCACCAGAAAGATGCAGAAGGTCTTCAAAAAGTCGACTAGGCAACCACAACTGAAAGAAGGGCCGCATCGATCCGAAAGAAACAGTCCCAGACTCATGGCAACGATGCGGAAAAGAACTTGGCTAATGACGGATGCGAGGAGCTGGGCGAGGACCACATCTACCGGAGCACCACCTCGGATGAAGGAAACAGTGAACTCAAGCAGGCTGCTCAACTCGAAGAGGGCGATCACGGTCCAGTACCTCAGCGGCAGCTGGAATGTTGCAAGCGGCGCCACGAGCTCCTGGAAGACTGGGCCTCGCACATACTCCGTGAAGGCTTCGTGGCTGCCATACCACGCGTGAATCCCGGCATAGATGAACCTCCGGTCATAGTCGCTCTGACACTCCGCCAGGCTTAGGTCGAACTTCTTGAGGTTTGCCAGAAGCCTGCGCTTCTCAGACATTATCTTCCGGACAGAGTGGATGCAGAAGATTATGGGAAGAAGCCCCAAGGGCTCGAGGAAAGCGAAGGCAGGAGCAAGTTGGTGCAACAGAAAGTGAAGGACCATCATGAAAAGCAGCCACATAAGGACACAGCCCACCAACAGCTCTTGATACAATGGAGCCAGCACGATCTTTCCTTTCGGATTCGCCTTGCGAAAGGCTGCCAATTCGAAGACACACCAAAGCCGCGAGAAAAGCGGCGCGCTCCAAAGGACCCGGAGCTCTGAAGACAGAGCAAGGAAGCCTCCCAAGCCGTACACCCCTTGCTGCGTCAAGTGCGGATCGCCTTGATCAATGCTCACCACATCCACGAAAGCGAGATCTGAAGGACGCAGGGGCCAGCTCGGCCAGTAAGCGGCTGTCAGGAGTCCGATGGCAAAGCCCAGAAGACCGGAGAGCCGAATCCAGGGGCTGTGGAACCCCCAGCCCAACCAGGTATGTATCTTCACCTCGAAGTACCAAGTGGCCGGCAAGACGTCGCTGGCGCAGAGACTTGCCGCCAGAATGGTGCAGACAAGCCAAGATACAACAATGCAATGCCAACCTTCCTGCAAAGTCAGCGACCAAATCTTCAGCCTTGAAGAGGACTTCCAGGTATGTGACACCTGGGATGGATTTTTGTTGGGAAGGAGGACATAAACATCAAAATTCCACGGGTTGTGCGACAGGCCCAGCGATATTCAAAACTTGTTCAAATCAACCCTTGACACAAAGACATCGAAAAAGTCCACCTTCACAGATGCTTTCAATAGCCTCCGGTTGTCCCTTGCAGTCAACTGGCTTGGATTGGTCATCCAAACGCGGCCAAACCTCCTCAGCGATTTGCGCAGGGAAATCCCACGTAGAAGCGCTGGATCCACGCTCAACTCAGGTGGGAGAGTCTGCTGGAAAGAGCCGAGCTCCGAGGGCACGAGGCTGGGAGAACTCGCTGCCGTGAGGATTGGATCTGGCACATGTTCGTGATGTTCCTGACAAAATTCCCGGTCGCTCTGATGAACCACGTGCTGCACCACGTTGCTCACTTCTGCGACCTCTTCCTTCTTGCAACAGCTGGTGTGGGCCCCCATGCCACTGGATCTCTGCAGCCGAACTCTTACATGTCCCGCTACAGCAAACAATGCATTGCGTTCAACGCAGCATTCACGATGTCCAATGTTACGAGTCTGTCAAGAAACCTCAACCCAGATCGGTAAGACTGCAATCAAAACTACTATGCTGCTCCTGTGGAGGGCGGCAGATCCCGCGCGCTACTTCTAAACGCCTGGAGGTGAGAACTGCTGCCGAGCTCCTTCGGGGGTTTGGGCTTTGCGGGGCATGGTAGACCAATGGGACTCAGGGGGCGTGTTGCTAACATCCTGGCCGTCCTGACCCCTGCCCGCCAAACCTGAAACCCGCACAGCCACCTGACAAGCGGCGAAACTCGCGGCGGCGCAGAAGCCTTTCACGTTCCGGGGGTCTGGGGACAGGTTTGGGTCTGGAGCCGGGCAGCAGAAGTTCTCAAAAGCCCCTCCAAAAGCAAGAAAAGCAGGAAAGAAAGCAATGTCGAGCTGGGACTCCAACAGCCTGCGACAAAATCCTTGTTCACGGGCCACTCTTCAAGACTCGCAGGCTTTGCCGGAAGCTCTCATCATCTCTCTTCTAATTAGACTCCGGCATTCCACCGACGCCAGATACTTGTAGCTGGAAATAGCTTGCCAACCAAGCCTTGCGCATATGCGACCATCAATTACCACTGACAACAAACAACACTTCCAGGCCTAAAGCCATATGGAGGGTTGGAGGGAGTTCTGAGTTCACATCAACACGCGACAACTTGTTCCGTGGAATTTTTTGGAAAGCACAATTCATACATGAAAGACTTTGGCAGCTTTTATGGAGTAGCACGATGGAGAACTTGGTGTCTGCAAATGATGCAAATGTATTTGTTTTACATGGCCAATCTCCTAGAGAGTCAGAGGCCCGCAGCTGCTGGCTTGCGCTTGACTCGCGTGGTTTCGGATTTGCCGCCAACCACTCTGAGGCTCTCCTCCACCAAGGGGAGCAAGGGCTTGGGCAGGTCTGACCCGTGAACGTGCGCAATTGGAAAACCTTGCTGGAATATTTCTTGTTGAGGGTCAGGCTGTTCGCGCCTGGCCGCCCTTGTATGATCCTGAAGCCTTGCTCACATGTCTTGCCCCAGATGTAGTTGAAGCCATGCTCCTGCCAGCTCGCTGCTGCGCGGAAGACCTGCTGCGGCGGGAGCTTGTCCACCAAGGCCTTGAGGCGCCAACACAAGTCCGACTTCTTCAGCTCAACCTCCACTGCATCTGGCACGCGCACCTCCTTCATGTGCTCGAGGTAGCGCTGCCAGCTTTCCTTCCTCGCAGCCTTGAGCGCGGCCACGTCGACGGCCGAGAGGAGCGCCAAGCGCCGCGGCTCTACAACCTTCCACCGGGGCAAGCGCCTGCGGACGTGGAGCATTTATCCCAGTTCAAAATGCAGAGCTCCGGCATGCCTGGTGTTCATGCACGTGTGTAGGGCGCTGCTGTATAGGGCACAGCACTCTAGGCTGACCTTTGCGTTCTCTGGCAGCCGCTCCGGGCAACCTACCTCCCGAAGCGGGTTGTCGCAGTCTCCTATAATAGTCAACTGACGTGGGATCTAGTCTACATGCCGCAACCTGCTTCCCGAAGCGGGTTGTCGCAGTCTCCACACCTCTTCCCTTAGCTTCGCGGCGGCTTCCGAGGACAAGTCTGGAAGCACCGTTCCTGCAGCAATTGCCGCAACGCTGCCTTCTTTGAAGAGGCTCCTGCATGCGCAGAGGCCTCCAAGCAATACGTCGCCGTAACTGTAGGTGTGGTAGATGCTGCTGAGCAAGGTTTGGCACACCGTCTTGCGGTACAGGTGCAGCTATGGGACTGCCGCCCGGGGTCCCCCCAAGCGGCCTTCAGCGCGGCCAGCTCGCCTTCTGCCCCGGCAACTCGCTCTGCCTGCTTCACTGCTTCTACCTGCATAGCTTTCAGTATCGTCAGTTCGGTATCTGCTCGAGTCTTCTGGCGCTTCTTTTCCTCTTCCATCACGGCCTTCAGCGCCTCCGTGTGCTGCTTAGCTTGCTGCGCCAGTGTGACACGAAACTCACTGAAGACGTTCTGCACGAAGGGCTGCAATGCTTTGCCGGCGAGTGGATGGGCATGAGCATCCTCATTCTTCAGCGCCAGCGCCAGGGGCTCGCGCTTCGGAGGCTTCGGGCTGCTCTTCACGGCAGTCCGCTTAGGAGACGGCGACGGCGCCAGCACGGTGGACGGCGTTTTGTTCTCCACTTGGTCGGGCGTCCTCACTCCGCTCACTGGTGCTGTCTCTGGCGATGTCGAGATGCTGGCCGGTGCACTTGATGCCCTGGGAGCCTCAGGAGTCTCGTTCTCCTGGCTGATGTCTGTCCCTTGCCGCTCCACCCGTAAGACTTCCACGCTGAAGGCATTGCCGCCGCCAGGCTCTCGCTCTTTCTCTCCTGTGTGGCATCGCCGGCTGAGCGTAACACTGGATCTGAAGATCGTCTAGCAATGGCTTCTAGCTAGAACTTATTCTCAAAGCTATAACCTATTTTCCGAAACGGGTTGTAGCAAACTCCGGTGACCCAAGATGTTCAGACGCCAGCGTGCACCTTGGGCGCTTTTCAAAATATTGTCAACCCCATTGAGTCTTTTGGTCAAATGTTGAACCTTCAATCCAGTGGCCACACTACAACAATCATGCACTTTGCAAGATGCAAAAAACTGATCAGCCTTTGTGTCCCTGAGAAAGCTAAGAACAGATAACAGGGTGCCAGCTTTGAGTCTGTGGAACCCTGGAGAAGGGCCCTGGACGACCGGGGTACGTCGGCAGCGGCTTCACCGCCGAAGTTGGATTGTTCGTGTTTCTCGCTCTCATGTTTCTCGCTTTCTTCTTATGCTTTTTCTTCTTAGTATTATTCTTATTATTCCTCTTCTTCTTCTTATTATTCTTCTTCTTCCTCCTCTTCTTCTTCTTCTTCTTGTTCTTCTTCTTCTTCTTCTTCTTCTTCTTCTTCTTCTTCTTCTTCTTCTTCTTCTTCTTCTTCTTCTTCTTCTTCTTCTTCTTCTTCTTCTTCTTCTTCTTCTTCTTCTTCTTCTTCTCCTCCTTCTCCTTCTTCTTCTTCTTCGTCTTCTGAATCTTCTTCTTGTGCTGACCTTCCCCTGTGACGAGGGCTTGAGACTGTCCTGTTGTTGACTGCGAAGGTCCGCACCTGTTGCGCTCTTGCTCTTTGACCCAGCCCCCCTCTCCCAGGTGTGACACGCGAAGGGCTTTGCCGGTTCCCCCCTTCCCCCGGACATATCACGTAATGCACCCTGGGACACCTTCTGCTCCATTTCTATCTCCCTCTCTCGCTCTGTCGTCTCCCTCTCATTCCTCTCCAAAGAACAAGCAAGTTCTGTCCTAACATCCTAGACCTTGGACCATGTCAATCTTTCCCGCTAGTCTGGAAGACGCAGTGCGTGACAGCTTTAGCAACTTTGGTGCCCAGCAAAGCCCTCAAGCCCTCAGCGCAGCTCCAGGCGGTCCAAGGGGCATGGCACTGGTGGTCCCCCGGTTGCCGCGGCCCAGGTGAGAATGCACGAAGGTTTGTTCCGCGCATAAAGGGCTCACCTTTGAAGGGGGCGATACTCAGGCACTGGACTAAACCCACATAAACGTACACGAAGCTCTGAGTCTTTTGCCCTGAAGGCCCACTGATGCCTAATGTCTCCAGCAAGGCGATTGGAGAGCTTCCGGAAATCAGGCTTTGGGACTGTCGTGCATCAGAATGCATCCGAGCCGCGACAAGTGGGAGGCGGCCGGTGGGCCGACAGGGGCTTTTGGGAGACACAGGACCTTGCAGAGTAAGCCCAAGAAGCTTTCGAGACAACGCAGCTCAGGGTTCAGGCTGGTGCAGAACAAGCGCAACTGGTGCTTACAAGCTCGGCCCAGATAGGAACAACCCCAGCATCTGAAAAAGGGATCACGAAGGAGCTACACAGCACCGCATGGTCCCCAAACCTTGAACCCGCAGGGTGCCCCGGACATTTTGTGGCCAAGCCACTATAGCCGTAATGCTGGGCTCGTGCTTGACGTTCTTCCTCAGCTTCGTCCTGGCGGTCTGAAAGGACGCAGAGCTTGAGATTGGGACCTCGCATCCGAACTGTATCTCGAAGCATCCTGAAACTCCTCACACCCCAAACCGACACGCCCCTCACATGAACAGAATCCGACAGCATGCAACACCCTACAAACTGAAACAGCTTTGCAGCCTGAAGCCCAAATACCCATAGACCCGGAAAGCACAGAATTAAATACCCTTGAACCCTAAACTAAACCCTCTGAAATCCTGAACCCTGAAAAACCCTTTGTTAACCCCAAGCTTAAACTCCGAAGCCAATTACAGCCTAAGCCCCCTTGAATCCAGGGTCGAAGTCAGCCTCCTCGGCACCAATGTCCGGACCAAGCACAGCCCGCGCCGTCTGCAACGTTCGCGTGAAAGGCCTCGAGAGCGGAGAGCGGGGCCTAGGGCTTAAAGTGTGACCTACTTGCCCAGGAAACATGACGCAAGAATCACTAAAGAATCACTAGCCGCGACATATTTTGCAAACTGGACATGCCACTCGATCAACTCGAAGCTTCCCAGCAGACGCCACTCATCGCCACTCGGAAGCTCTCATGCGGCTCATGCGCCTACAACTGTTCTTCCGAGGTCGCATTGGTAAAAAGCTTCTCGCTCTAAGGGACTGTTGGGTAAATTGAAAGACCGTTCCTTGAAGTTCCCTGTGGAGCTGCAGGCTTCGTGGGGCTGAGCCCCATCGCGAACCCTACAATTAACGGCTTCGGGGGAGGCCGCGCAACGAGATTCCCTCTGCAAGCGCCTGACACAAAGAGTCGGCTTCCTTCCGGCAGCTCACATCCATCCCGGCCGGTGCAGTGCGGACGTATGTACGGAGCACATCAGCAGTGACAAAACACACAAAGCCCCGGAAGGTAAAGCTGTTGAGTTTCCAAGATAACTCCTGCATTCTTTTGCTCGGTTGTTGCAACCAAGCACTCGAACTTCCGCCGTGGCCCTCCCTTGCCTATGACAGCTTACAACCTCAAACAAACTACACCTGCAAGCCTCCGAACTCCTTTGACCCACGAACCTGAACCCTTTGAAAAAACTTAAACCAGCCAGTGCTCGAGACGACCGCCATGTGGAAAGCAGGCAGCACTCCTGCCTGAGTCGAAGGAACTGAAGTCATTACTACACATCTCAAATCTCAAAACCTGGCTGCTTGGGGCCTCGGGACATCCCTCTTGCTCTGTCACAAACCCAAGCAAACAGAAAGAGTACCATGTTGAAAAACAGCAGGCTCCCGAACCCAGGCGGGCTCCCCTACGGGAAGGAGTGAGGGGCATTGAAGCCTACATGAGTTTGGGCATGTCTTGGGTTTAAGCAGTTTTGAAGGAATGGCTTGTGGGATTGGGGGTTTCAGGGTTTTCTGCTGTACCCGCCTCGCGCAGGCAATCTCCGACCGCCTCTGCTTGGGCCTGTCCAAGCACTGACACAGCTCAAGAAGGGAACATGCAACAGCTTCGTGGCTTTCTGGACTGGGTGAGGTTGAGGAATTGGGCTAGGCTTCCTGTGCGCAACAACTTTGCGCCTTGCCGCAGTCGTTGATCTCCGCATCCTCACTCACGATGCTTCCCATGCCTCCAAACTTGGGCTCAGTTGGCGGGGTTTACGTTCCACAAGGCTGCCCTCCACCAACAGCTGGTGATCGAAATCAGGCATGGACGGTGGCGATTCGTGCCGAATCCAGGCTGACGGGCTTTGCGTGACGTATATCAATCCATCTACTGCTTGCATCCACCTGCTGCTGCATCCACACTGCCTACGGACCTACTACAGATCGCACAAGCATAGCACCCCCAGAGTGGGTCTAAAGTCAAAGGCTGAGTGTCCTTGTTTTGCTTCCGGCCCCTTCCCCACACGAAAAGAGCTTCGCAGTTTGGACCGTGCCGTGTTACAACCCCCGTGGGGGCCTGGAAGAGATCCCTGTGGCCTGTTAGTCTCAGCATGGGAACACAGTGGCTTGGGAACACAGTGGCTGCCTGCGTAGGTGTTGTGGGCACCCATGGCATGGCGCATGACCTCAGGCTCAGCTGAGCAACTGCACACAACACCCTACCGCGCACTCAGAGATCGCCCTGCAGACCTCAACAACAGGGGCTCACGGGGCCGGGGGGGGCACTCAGTCTTTAAGCTTGAAAGCACCGAGATCCCTGACAGGCACTTGCTCACCTGACCTCCTTCGGGCACTTCCAACATCTTCCGACATCTTCCAACCTCTTCCCCAGAATGCCCCAAACATTTCGAAAACCGCAAGCCCAAGCCAAGCCAAGCTTCAAGTACGCGCACAGCCTCCGGACGAGGATCTTGGAAGAAGGCTGTGAGTTCGATCTTGGCCTCCGCAATCTGCTCTAGGGTTTTGATTTTGAGCTGTTGGGGATCTGATCCGAGATTTCGGATTGGGAGTCGCGGGAAGTTGGCTCAGAAGGCTGAGCGTGTAGGTTTTAGGTCTGGCTGCTGACAGTATTTCGGTGGACATTACACATGCTGATGCAGAATTGTTCACCGTCAGACGTGCAGAGAAAGTTGCCGTTGAGGCATGACTGGAACAAGCTAGCGGTGCAAGTTGCTGAGCTGCAGTCGCAGAAAACGCCCGCCCGCGTGAAGCATGCGCATCCGCAAGCATCCAAAGGTGGCCATGGACAACTGCAAACTGCAGAAGATGTGATGCATGAAGCTTCCTCCGGCAGCCCATTCAAAAGCTGCAAGCAAACCACAGCAAATCACAAGCTTTCAGCCGGAGTCATCTTAAAGGACCAAGAAAGTAGCATGATGTCAGCCAACATTGGATTGAGGGCTCATGCTTTGCGACCATGTGGGTACTGGGCGGGAGGGGGGGGGGGCAGTCTGTCAAACAAAAGGAGCTGAGTCCCACAAGAGAACCGCCCTTGAAAAGCCTCCTCCTGAAGGAACTGGCTGGTCTGGGACCAGGCTTTGTTGCAGCCGCTGAGCGCCATGCAGATCGCTACCTGACAGGCTCTTTTGGAGCGGCTCAGGCGCTGTCTACGACAAGATGACACAGCACAACTCTGCACCCTTGCTGTACCAGTGTGTCAGGTTCCGGATGATCCGACTTAATTCCATCTACGCCAACGAAGTGGCGACCGCCTGGCGACTAGCAGCTTCACAGCTCGCTCAACGCTTCCTAGCGTTTTGAAGCGAGAATGTGGGGTTTGCACAGCACATCGGTTCCAGGGCTTGCTCAACCAAGGCGCGATGGCCCTCCAACGGCATCAGCATAAATGCGCCCCCTCACTGTTGCACGTCGCATGGCGCATGAGGCGCATGAGGCGCATGAGGCGCATCATGACCAGACTGCTCAATAACCCTTAACATGAAGCTCGGCCTCGAAGGCCGACAACCCCACTGTACGAAGTTCTTCCGGTCTGGCGAACTGCGCTGCTCTGAATTGCAGGGAATGGGGATCAAGGAAAAGAAGTTTAAAACGTTTGTGCCCGAATTTGGGGGCAGCTGGCTTGGGTGTGCAGTTCTGCTGCAAGCGATATGGCTACCAAGGAGCGCAGCGAACCGCAAGAGCCCAAGAGCGAAAATTCAAGACAGGATCTTGGAGAAACGGGGGCCTTTAAGTTCAGTAGGGGCAAGGATGCGGAAGAAACACAAGTCCTCAGTCCCTGGGCTTCTTCAGATGCTGAATGTAGGGATGACCCCTTGCCTAAGGTCCTGGTATCTGGCTATAGGCCGTCCTCGCAGAGCCAATGCGGAGGAATCGTTGATGCAGAGGGTCCTGTTTTGGCGGTGGTCTGAACACAGGAGGGCTGTCGTTCCTGCTGACCTGTATGCAACAGTCGGGCTTAACTTGCACAAAAGGCCACATGACAGGCTTCTTCGGCAATGGGTGGTTCCAAGGTGCAGCTCAGTATTGAGTGAGTTCGGGGGTTGGTGGTTGCGATGGATGTCGTTCCTAGCCGGGTCCTCCACGACCAAGCCGTCTGCATGCCAGTGAAATGCGACTAGCGCCTTCAGCACGCCACCTCGCTTTGCAAAGCTGTGTGGACAAGGGCGGCACATGGCGGCACAGCCTTTCCTGATCTGCATAATGCTCAAATGAGTTCGGGGCCTGGCCATCAGAAGCCCCCGGGCAGCGTTCAAGACCCCTCGTCCACGAAAGTCTGCACCCTCAAGCCCCATTAACCCTCCCTACACGCGGAGCCAGTTCAAGGAAAACTGCAACACAGAAACCCCCTGAAACCCCTGAAACCCTCTCAAACCCCTGAAACCCTCCGAGACATTCCAAAGCCTATTTAAAACCCATTTTGAAAAGGCAATGCTGGCCTTGGCACTGCTGCCATGAGAGGACCTCCCACCCTGGTGGGATCCGGGCCTGGACGGGGGGGCCGAGGCGGGGAAAGGGGATTATGAGGATTTCCTGCTGAGGCTTTTGAGGAAGTTTGGGTAAGTTGCTGGAGGTCAACATCCTTGGCTCCAAGCCCCCTTACGTGCGACTGCCCTTCGCCTCATCTGCCTCAGCCGAAAGCCTCAACCCTGCCTAACGGGCTGACACACACTGGCCTCGGGTTCAGGTTTGAGTACAACACCACATCTAAAGCACAGGCCAGTCGCAAACCCAGTTGCAAGCCCACTTGTCTACTGCTTTCTGTACCTGCCGGAAGGAAAACAGCCTATGGAAGATGATTAGGCTGGATGTGGCCCGCGCAAGAAACCTTCCTCAAAGTCCCCCGTGGCCCCGCGATGCTTCGCGTTTCCCTGAGACCATGGCCGGCTGCTTTTGCCAGGGGAGGGGCTCCAGATCCCTCGTGGCTTCAGTGCTCAAAAGCCGGGAGTGGGGTGAGGGATTCCTGAAAGGCGTCTGTAGGGAGTAGACCAGGTCAGGTGATGGCACAGAATCCCCGGCGTTCTCGAACCCAGTGATACTTACATTCCATGTAATTGTCTATGTGGAAAGCCAAAGTCTGACAGCCATCCACTGCGAATCCCCGGCTTTGTGAGAAGATTCAAGGCTCAAGAGGGATGGGCGGGGGTTCTGGATGGTTCTGGTACTGGAATGTTCTGGGGTTTGGGAGCTGAGGTCCCGGCGCATCCCTGGGCAGCCACCGATCGGGGGCGCCGGCATATCGAGACCATCCCTCCTGGAAAAATTCTCCCAAGCGCCCCCGCCCTCAGCCTGAACTTCATGAAACAACAAGGCACCTACCAGTTCAACTCAGCTGAAGGCTTTGAAGCTGCTTTGGGCTTCAACGGCTTCAGCGGTTCCGAAGTGGAATTCCACAGTGGCCCCGCTGCTTCGTGGACAGCTTCTTGGCTCGCAATGTTGCTCTCGTGCACACGCGACCCCCTTGCACATACGCCCATAAACGCAGCTGCTGAGTCGCGGCGTCTCGCATTGCCCGTTGACCCTCCCAGTTTTTTTTCACCATACAAGACTCTGGCAGCACAAGTCAAGAAAAATCTGGGAGGCATGTGCAACCCTGCCGCGCCCGAAAACCACAACAATGTCTCGAATGCAACTCCAATCTTTGACTCCCCACAAGCAAATCCGAAGCCGAGAAGCCCCTATAAACCCTCGAAGCCCCAAAGCAAGGTGCCGCCCACCCTCGACAACTCTTCGACCAGCAGCTGCCCCTCACGGGCCCAGGAGTCCTTACAACAAAACAGGAGGATTCCAGTAGCGTGGGAAGGTTACCAGAGGGCTCAGATTTTAGGGTTTAAGGGCCTGTGGATTCATGAGCTTAAGCTATTCTGGCGCGCAAAGGAATGGAGGCCACAGATTCCAGCGCCCTGAAAACTCCACCTGAAAGGTCCTCGATGTGTAGTCCAGGAGTGCTATAGGGGCTATGTCGGGGGCTGCGCACTCCAAGAACGATCCGAAACGCACCTGAATCCAAAAGGAATGCAACAGACCAAAGCAACTCAAGCACCCTCCCTTGCTCCGCTTTGCTCCGCTTTGCTCCGCTTTGCTCCGCTCCACCCCTTGTTGCTTCTTCCATCCTCCCAAACCGGCCTCAAATTCCAAGGTCCTAAACCTTACTGGGGGCCTTGGGAAGTAGAGAATCTCTAGAAGTTTCGTGGCTTCGGAAGGTTCACCAACGACGGCACCGCAGAGCCCCCCAAACCTCAGCTCCAAAGCTCCAGGCCTCCTTTGCCGAAACACTGAACTCAGTGAACTCTCACGCACCATCCCAGAGCCCTCAAACTTGACACTCCGGCTGCGCCTCACTTGAGGCATCCCGCAGCTCATCGGGTGAGGCGTGGCACTTGCTGAAGAATTGCGTGGCCTTATCGATTTCTGGGAACCCCTGTGATCTTGAGTTCTCCTTGTGTTTTTGGTTTTGCTTTCGAAAGGGGGAGTGGGGGGGACTCTCAGAGTGGAGAGTCCAGGGCTACCCCGAGCCCGAAGGGCTCCCCAGCGCCACAACAGCTTCCGAAAGAAACGGGGGCACCAATTGCTCCCGGAATCATGGCAGGTGTGGTCTCGCTAAGACTTTCCTCTCAACGCCTGGCTCAGGGGACATCCTTGCCAGAGAGCCTTCCGGCAGCGGCTCAGAGCTGCAGGCGGCGAGGCACATGCTGCGGCGTAAAGCTGGGAGCCTGAGGCGGAGTTTCGGGCTTTGCTGAACTCTTACATCAAACCTTCAGTGGCCTTTTGGGACCTGTGAAACCTTCAAAGGCCAAAAACGACTCTCCAATGTTACGGCATTGGAAGCTCCTGTCCTGAAGGGACATGAAGGGAAAGCCTTCGTGTGGTTGGTGCCGCAGCCCAGGGCTCGGGCCAAATCCAATGCCAAACGTGGGCCCAACCTCAAGAAAGCGGGCATGCGATGGACATGCCATGGCCAGCCATGCCATGGCCACCATGGCCTCCATATCATGGAGAGCCCTTGCGAGGCTCAAGCCCTACAGAAGGCCCTGTAACCCTCAATTTCCTGACCTCACTTGCTGCGATTGCTCTGCTTCCGTCCCAGATGTCTGATCTTCCCGTCTCATTACTCGGACAAACTTGGCTTACTGTGCTCACAAGCTGCTTGGAATGCCGGAATTACCCTTTACATTTACTCTGTCTGGCCACATTCCCTACAAGTCGCACTCGAGGGCAAGGCGAGCAGCTTGCCTACTCGCTGAACGGTGGGTGCCTGAGCCTGAACCTCTACGAGTCTGAGTGTACGCCACATACCCCAACTAGACCCTGAACGGCAAGTCTGAGGCCCGGGCTGGGTCAACACAGAGCGCACGCGGCGGATGTGACGCTAGATTGTGGACCTCTGCCCCCAAGACTCCACAAGGACTCCAAAACTCCGAACCCAAGCCAGGATCGGTTAGGGGTGTCAGGCAGCTTAGGCAGCTTTTGCAAGATGCGCGAAGCCTCCCTTCATGAAGCCCAGCGCTCTCCAAGCCCTCAAGCTTCAAGAGCTCTCCAAGCTTCGGGCGCGAGAAGCTGACCCGCGCTGATTCATGCATGCGTCGAGGCGAATTCGTATGTCGCTGGGCAACGTTGCAAGGTTGAAAGGTTCGGAGAGGCTGAAAAATCTAACGGAGTTAAGACGCGATGCTTTACATTCAGGATCGAGGGCGTAAGGTCTCGGGGCTGTTTGTCCTGAGCTTCTTGGCGGTTCGGAGGCTCTTGGAACTAGAGTTTTCTGATCTCTCTACAACTAAGGTGAATGCCCCCTTACAGCGGTAGGAACCGCTGCATGCAGCCAAAAAGAGCAATTGTTGTGCGGAAGGCGATGGGAACCACGCCCAATGGGCCAACAGCTGCCCCACTAAACCCTTAAACCCTCATGAAATTGCAAGAACTGACCCCCTGTCAACCGCCACAGGGTCAGTCTAGGCTTCGGGTTTGCAACTAGGTTTGAATCCGTGCGTTGATCATTGAAGCCTCAAAGCACACCAAAGACCAATCAGCCAGGCATAGGCGTCAACCCCAAACACCAGACCCCAAGCTGCCTAAGCCCTGTTGCTTGAGACCGCTGTCTCCTTATGGTGAAGACAGCTCTGTTTCGTTGTGGGCACAAGTAGTCCTGTTGCGAATGGCAGACTTGGGAGGATGGGCCAGGCTGTAAGTCATGAGATGCACAGAAGGGGTGACCACTTGGGAAGACGATGTACATCCACCGAAGGAGCCGCTTTGGAGGACGACCTATGTTGCAGCACGATCTCCTCCTTCCCCCATTGAAAGTCTTCAGCATGTCTGCCCGCAAGCCTACCCGAAGCCACTGAAGCCCCCACACACGCATGAGGATCGGCGCGGCCTTTGTGTGAGGAAGGGGTCAGAGACACATCTAATGATTCTGCACGCACAACTTTGCTATGGAGGCTGCTGGCAGCCTTCTAGGAGCTTCTTGCTCAGGCGACAGTTGCCACACATCCTGGCAAAAACCATTCAGGCCAAGAGATAGCGGTACCAAGCCTTCATGGTACATGGGATGTCGAAGCGCTTCTACTCAACTCGTTTGAAGTAAACAACCGCACTAGCCCATTCATGTTTTTGTAGACAAGAAACGTGCCGAAGCGACGAAGTGCAGAATGCTTTCATTGCTAGTAAATGGTGGCTTGATGCTATGAAAAGATGTTGAGAAGCTGTCATATGCTGAGTTTAGGGGCTTTCGCACACCGCATGAGCTCTCGGGCGCCCGCGATGGGTTTCTCAACGCGGCCATGCACATTGCACGAATTTTAGCGCATTGTATGGGGCGAGGCCATGCAAGCTTGCCGCCTGCAAACATCGACGACACTCTGGCAACGCTTGTCACCCAACATCTTCGCTCAGAAGACCAAGGATACACCACCTGGCAGGTAGTACACAAGTTATTGACTAGGTCGTCAACATGACATTGGGGATCTTGTGAGAATTTTGGTCAGGACTTCTTTAGAACCCGGGTTGATCTGGCATACTCTCACTCTGCAGGCCGCACCCCGTACTAGTCCGCTCCCGCCAAATGGAAGGCTAAGCCTTTTCAGGGACTTGCAGGTCCCAAGTAGCTGGTCTGCTTTAACTCAAAGGTTTAGGGTTGTGAAAGTTCTGAAACCTCGGACTCAACTGCCCACAACGTTCTCCAACGGATCACCAGAAAGAAACTGTAGCAGACCACATGGGAGATCACCGATCGAACTCGGCATTGGCGTTCACAAGGCATGCTCTAAGGGCCACTATAGGCTGCAGTCTTTCAGGCCTCATCACATCGTCCACACCGTCCACCGCAAGCAAAACTACACCAAGAACCTCACTTTGGCCTCCTAGGCCGTCCGTGCGCAACCCGCACCATGCTTGAGTGGTGTAGAAATGGAAAAGAACGAACACATGATGCCTGAAGCTCCACCAGGCATGCTCCAGATCTCTTGCATTTGCGCATTGCTTTTCCAGAGAGCGGGCCCGGGATGGAGCAGCCCCAACATCCGAAATCCTGAAGCTTGAAGGCTTGAAGCCTACACCAGAAAGAAACAAGCCCCCCAAAAAACATTCGATCAGCTACTTGAAGCCTTCTCAAAGAAAGGCGAGCTGCAGCATTGTGGTGACGTGTTGGTGGGCTTTCACTCCTCAATTCTGAACTGTTGACGCCTTCACTGACCCCGTCCCAGACGATCCCGGGACCACTCTTCGGCTTCTACCAAAACGTGCGGCTGCCGTCGCAGCGCAAAGCTAGGTCGAAGCTCTTATCCAGAGCACCAGGATGCACGTGGTAAGCCCCAGACCCCAAACTCCAACCTCTAACAGGTAGGCCGATGCCCTAACTGCACTGGGACTGGGCTGCTTTCCGACTTTCCGGAAAGGGGTAAATGAGTTAGGCAACTTTCCGCGATAGGGGAGACCTCTTCTGTGGGGGTGCTGATGCAGAGAAGTGCCCAGAACCTGAATTCTTTGCTTCGAAACGGTCGGTCTCACAAGTTCCGAAACGATGGTACTCAGGAAGTGCTTGAACATGAACAGGCCCCGAATAGAGAAATCCATGTAACCGTTCAATGTGCTCTTCTTCGTTGTTCACGCATCCTTGTCTCTCTCTTTTTGCTCGATAAACAAAGCGACCACATGGACAATCGTAATCGTGAGTGACTTGTTGCCTCCATTACCGTTCTAGATTCCTTATTTGAAGGAGAGCTATATGTTGCAGCTCTGCACGGCAAAAAACAAGGCCCCCCAGAAGACCTGTGTATGGGTCAATTTGTACGAGCCGTTCACGGGTCACTGTCAGTACTGGGCTTCCGCGCGAGATCGCGCGAGTATGCGAGGTCATGCCCTTCACATGTATTGCTTTGAAACGACTTCACGACGAGCCTCACGGATCTCACGACTAAGTCAACTCACGAAGAACTTTCCCTCATGTTGCAATTGAAGGAGCGGAGCGCCGTTCGTCATGTCCGGGCGGACAAAAAGGATCGATTATGCTAGTTGTGCCATGTGGTGCCCTTGATCTGGTTCCACTCCCCTTCAGCGCCCCAAAGAACTTGGAACGGCCTTAACCCATGGCTGCAAAAGGTGACTTCTTTTTAATGTGGCGCTTCAGCCCTTACGGGGGCCAAGGAGAGGCTTCCAGGTGCCCGGTGCTTTGGCAGCCTCAAGAAGTTCATTTGCCCAATTCTCAGACGTCCATGGCGACTGGCACCTTCGGAAAAGTGCTGGAAGCAGCTCTTGGGCAGCTCTAGGGGGTACATTCATTACCTCAACTTTAGGATCTTGGGCTGAGGAACCGAGGATGGCTGTTCCACACGGGTCCTACATGATTTCTTGAGCGACTCTGGACTAAGCACACACACCCTTGTTCAGAACAGTCAAGCCCTGGAACCCCCCCGAAAGCCCGAGAGCCCTGCAGGCCCTTCCAAAAGGGAACCCGGCAACCCCTGAAACCTACTCGGCTCCTGCTGCCCCCGCTAAAAGTCCTCCAGAATTCCCGCAGCCTCAAGGCCTGAACGAGGGACAAACTCCGTGGCTTCGGCCCTGAGCACCCCACTCCTCCGGAGCAATTTAGGCTCTTCATAGACTATTGTTGGAGTTTGTGGACTTTGCTTTAGGGCCCAAAGGTTTGGTTGGGGCTTCGTGGCCTGGATCTGTTTGGCTGTGCATCTGTAGCCGAGTGCAACTGCGCATTCGATGCTGGGAAGTGTTCCACTTGGTTCTGGGGTGCAAGGCACGTGCTGACCTCTAGGATGTAGCTGAGGCACTTGAGGGGGGCGACCAGGAAGGAAGTTTACCAAAGTGCGCAGGCAAGAAGACTTTATGCAAGGGGTCTTAAGTTCTAAATTGCCCCGCTGGCAAGGCTAGCGGCAGGGGCCAAAAGGACCAAACCTTCAGCTGCACTTTTCACAAGCTCGCGAAGCCGCCCCCCCCCTTCCGCACCCCCCCCCCCCTTTGCGGCCTCACTGGAGACGTGCTTGGGCCCTGGGCGGACTCTTTTGAGCTCAAGACCCGACTTTGGAACTCTCAAGGCTAACGTCCGCAAGGTGAGCCACCAACTTCCGCCTGCACATCCGACGCCCCGAGGCGTGGTGTTTCGTGTTGACTCGAAATTGGGTCAAGCGAGTTTCAGTGTCAGCGTAGCTGTCCTAAAACTCACCGGTGGGTTGCTTCGACCAACTTGCTCTATTGACTCCACTTCACAGGATACACTTGAGTCACTTGAGTGGAGGGAGGGCCAGTCGAAGGAAAGCTCCGCAGGCTTGGCTGGCGGGAGTCAGAGTAATAGGAGCTGGCGAGGCGCAGCACAAGGAAGGCAAAAAAAAAAAAGGAGGGGGGGGGGGGGGGGTGGGGTGGAGGGAGGAGGGCGACAAGGTGTTGTTCAAGAAATCAGTGCCAACGCAGACAAACGAAAGCCTCGCTACACGAGCTTTCGTGATTATCCCACCTCCAGGTTCCGAGGTTCCAACATCACGCGCACTTCACAATCAGCTTTGGGTTTCTATAGTCTTCGGTTCGGCCTGCAGAACGATGAGTTGTGAAGCAGCCCCCACCCCATCCCCCTCTCCAAGAAACATGTCGCTTGAAGAAACTTCAATTCACCAACAACCCACTCCTTAGAGCAAGCTGAAACCCCAAAACCCCAAAACCTGCACCGGAAAATCCTGAAAACATCCTGGAAATCCATGAGGGCCCCGCCTCGCGCTCGATTTCGAGGCTTAAAGTCTGCTGCGACACGCATGCCTGGAGTAGGGATCTCGAGTTGCATTCAGGAGTTTAAGGCCTGGGCTTTGGGGAGTGGTGCACTATCGGTGCAGATGGGGCTTTCGGGCACTGCACGTCCTTGAGCAAACACGGCTTGCAATGGGCACTGTCGCCCTAACCTCCAGACACAGGGGCGAAATACTTTTCAGCAACGCCTTGGAGAAACTCATGCCTCACAATGCCTCGCAAGCCCTGTGTTTCTGCCTCTTGTACTGTTCATAGGTCGAAGCTGCCAGGACTAAGTCGACTAAGTTACAGTTTGAACGCTCGGCTTGGAAGGGGGCTTCGGCATGTGGGCCATCTTCAACATGCAGCAGTAGGTAGGCACATGTATAGAATGCCTGGATGCTTCGAAAAAGCCCGGACTCTGGTGAACCCTCAGAACTGGCCTTCAACATCTTCGCCGGATCTCCGGCCACCGTATTCACGCACGTGATCTTATCGCCGACAGCAATGACCTCCGAGAGGGCTACCGAGGAGTTTGAACATTGGTTGCTGTCCTGTCTCGACCTGCTAGTTCAAGCTGTCCCGCCACCACACCCTCGACGACAACAACAGCGACGACAACAACATTGGGGATCCACATTAACGAATCTAGTGAGCTTCTGAGCTTCCCAGGACCCCGGTGCTCGCTAGGTTGTCAAGCTGGACTGCTGTAGGGCTTAGTCCGCTGGCACCAGGCCCGGCAGAAACCGAGCGGAACGGCCCATGGCCATGTCAACAGATTTCGACGCCTAAAGAAGATAATCGGGCCTGTTCGGGAAGCGAGGATGCAAGGCATTGCTGGTTCCAGGCCTGGCAGAAAGGAATTGGGGCTTGAAGGGCTAAGGCTTTGTGAGCCTGTGCGGATTTTGAGAAGGTATGCAGATTGCATGGTTTGGCGCTTGATTGGGGAATTACTTTTCGTGCCTCAAGCTTGATATAAGCCCTGACCCTCCCGGCCTGCACCGCGCCCTGCCGGATTCCATCCACTCGCAGCACCTGCAGGGCTTTTGGGCTTTTGGGATTCCAAGACCCGAGCCAAGGCAACTTCAAGTTCCAGCCCCAGGGAGTGCTGCAAGAATTCGCTCAACACCAAACCTCTCGAGACAAGGAATGATAGAAAGCCAGGATCCCAAACCTCAAACCCTCAACAGACCAAGTCCAAGACGTTGCCGCTGGGCTCATGGGACACATCCAGGCCAAGCTCAGTGTCGGCGGCCTGGCTGAGGGGGCACATGGTAGTCTTTTGCGAGCACTTGCGACTCCACGTCTTCGGGGTGTCAAGAGACTCAGGCCTTCGTGATGGTCACGCTGAAAGTGGTGATCTGGCCTTGCTCGGGAGCTCTTTTGGAGCCCAAAGCAATTAAGACCCTTCAACCCCAAGCTCCAATGCCTGTGAAGCGGACTGTGTATGGTACGAGTGCATTTTCTGACCTGGCACTTCCGGTCCCTTGGGCCCTCACTCTGCGGCGAGCCACCCTCAAAGTGAACAAAGTGAACAGAGTGAGCAGAGTGAACAGAGTGAGCGAACAGATGAGTGAGCAGCGGGGTTTGCTGTCTTCGGGCCCGGCATTCACGGGGTTGGTTTTGGCCTATGGGGCCTACAGTTGGGGCTGTCTACCCAAGACCGTTTAATCGCGAATCTGGAGCCAAGCGCCCACCGCGCCACCCAAAAAGCCTTCGACTCCTGAAACCAGAAAACCCTGCATCCCAAGCTTGGGAGAGTCGCCAAGACGGTCAAGGTTTCAAAAGTGGGTTTGCTTACATGAAACGCCCTGTGATGCAAAGATTGCGACGGATGCGAAGGTATTGTGCTCACCTTTGGCTTGGCTCTCAACATGATGGAGCCCAACCTTATTCCCAAGCACTGCCCCCTCGCAGCCCCAAGTCCGAGCTGATCCCTACATCAAGCCGCCGGCCTCGCTTTCGGGCACCAGCGACTCCCTTCAGTGACTGCTACGAAACGCAAGGGAGATTCTCGTAGACTAAGAGATGTTGCGTCGGGCTCTGTGTGCGAATGCTGAGACACCTCGCAGCTCTGACCCAGACCCAAGGGTTTCAGCTTCCAAGTGGATTCTTGCATTCTTGGACGGGCTCCAGCCATCCCTATCTTCCGGAACCCTTCCTCGGGCGCAAGCGCCAGTGAAAGGGGCGTGCGCTGAGTCGTGGAGACTGGGCCAAGAGCCTGAACGCGTTCGTGTTTTTTTTGAAGCTTTTGACGCTTGAAGGTGCGTAAGTGTCGGTGTTCCGGATAGGGCTTCCCTGCTTTCGAAATTAGAGTCTTAGATGCTCGAGGCCTCGGGCTTGCAGAGCTTCAAGGGAACAAACTGGGGAAGGAGCGGAGCCTTCGAAGACATATTACAACTTGTGAGAAGGCGGCTCAAGACTCGCGAGCCCAGGTGAAAAGCCGAAAAAGTATCCGCAGGAGCCCGAAACTCTGAAGCTGTAAGGTGCAGGGTTGACGAGCGATTAGGAGGTAGAGCTAACAAATGCTGGAACCAAACTCAACCCGAAGCGAATTTGCCAGAGGTTTGTCGGCCAACGTCCGGCATTTCAGTCCGTACACATGGCTTTCAGGACTGTTTCAGGGTCAGCTAGGTTTAGGGTGTGGGCCTGAGGGGAATTTCGGCCAAACGCAGGTTTAGGGTTGTAGGAGCCTGTAGATTGTCGAGGATAGCTCTTTCCAAGCAAAGCCACCACGTAACCGCTGAAAGGACCCCGAACCTCCGCCAGCGACAATGGCGCCGGGGCGCCGGGTGCTGGCAAGCTCCGGGCTTTGGGCTTGCAGGCTCTGGGGTGGCGGGTCAGGAAGTTTAGGATCAGCATCTTGGACTCTACACTCCAGGTCAAGAAGCACCGCGATGAGATCGAAAGATCTAGCTCTGAGCACCAGCTTCCGGTTCAATGTGGTTTCGTGACCAGCCCAGCCAGAGCCCAGCTTTGGGGGCGCAAGCGTCCCCACCTCCCACTCCCGGTGAAGGAAGTGGCATGACGGGCACCTCAAACAAGGAGTGAAGGCTTGAGGCGGTTGAGAGTATGAGGTTTACTGCATTTAAGGTTTAGAGGAAGCCGTGTATAACGGCTTAGTTTGACTTATTGGGTGCTTGTCCATATCCCAGAATCAAAGAAACTGCTTCCAAGTACCAAGGTCCTAAGGTCCTCGCACTCCTACCATACAGCTACTACACGCCTGACGTTTATTCGGGTTCCCCTTTTGCTCTGGATGCGCTGCCCCAAACTGCCCACACCCTCTCGCATTGCTCTGCAACCCTACGGCCCGACGAGCGACTTCTCATCGGGGGACTTAGGAGGGGCTTCAACTGAACCCTGAGAACGCCTCTCAGCCGAAGGTTAGAACGGATGTCTGGCGGAGGTCACCCGGGCGCCCGGCTTCAGGCAGCACTGCCTACACTGACAAAATTGGGGAGGCTTTCTTCGGGGGGCTGGAAGGGGCTGGGGAAAGAGAGAATGCAGGGATCTTCGAGGCTTTGCTCGCAGAACTGAAAAGACCCCAAACCATCGGCAAAGCGCGGATGCCAAGACCAGGCCAGCACCTCGCCCGCGTAGGAGGGGAAATCGCCGACTGGCCTGGGAGAGGGCCGCAGAGCCTTTGGGCTTGACCCTCTTTCGGGAAGCGACAGGTTCAGCCGCGTAAGTTGCTTGAAAATTCTTGGAAGCGGTCAATCTCCCTACCCAAACCCAGATAACCGCGTAAAGCTCTGGGCTTTGGTCCAGGGTCTGGAGAGTTTTGGGATTGGGGTTGTGGTCTATGTTGATTCGGGGCTCGTGTCTCGGGAATAGAGCCTCAAAGGAGAAAAAGTCCCTGCAACTGAAAGAAAAAGGCACAGACACCCCAAATCCCAAGCCTGCAACCATCCCCAACTCCACACGAGCCCTGAACTTTCGGGCATCCCACGCGAAGGGGATCGGCGTGAAAGGGCGGGCCGGGTAGCTCGGCTCCTAAATCAGCAAGTAGGTGTATGGGCTTTTTGGTTGAAGAAATCTAGAGCCCAAATTGTCAACCTCCAACCCCAGAACTCCTCAAAAAGTCGTCCGTCGTCCTGTGCAAATGGGCTCTACGATCAAACTCAGCATCGCAAGAGTGACGGACTACCACCGTGCGAATCCGGAAAGAGTAAATGCGCTCAAACCCTTGAACCTCCCTTGCGAAAGTCTTGCAGCGCCCCAATGATAGCTCCTCCTGCAGTGGGGGTGTTCCCGCCTGGGCTCTCCAGGTCATTGCCGCAGGGGTTTAGCGAGAGCCAAATTCAGTGGGGTTCTCGGAGTTCTCCAGAATCGCAAAGAGCTGCTCGATATCTGTTTTGATCTATGGGCATAGCCATCAAGTGGGCATTCAGCGTTTGGGCCGTTTGGGGGCTTCAGCCAACTCCCTGTTGTAGAAGGTCTTCAACTGCAGGAGGCCGTGGCGTTAAACCCCAAAGCACTCAAAACCTTGAACGTCATAAGCCTCTAAAAACCATCTGAAACCAAGCGCCAGGCCAACGTGCTGCCTGGTGATGCCAGGGAGTCCTTACTCACAATATGGTCGTTGGGGAGCTCGGGCCTCTCTTCTCCGAGGTGATGGACCGCAAAAATTCACAGAGTCCTAAGGCCTTGTGGCAGAAAAGCTTGGGCTTCTTTGTCCAAAGGGGACTTGAAAGCTCCAAATATTCCAAGCTGCACGCCCACGCTTCCACACTCCAGACTCGTTACTCCCCGACTGACTTCAACAACAAAACCTCGGCGCATCCGAGATCTGGGCTGGCACATACCCAGGCAATGACGAGCACTTGGAGGAAAGGGTGCAGAGTGCCTCTGAAGCGAGTTTGAGTGCAACATAGTGCAACATAGTGCAACATAGTGCAACAACCATCCCTAAGGCCCTCAACCCTTAGAGCCCTGAAGCCCCAAAAGCCTCGCTCCGCAAAACCCCCCATGAACCACCTCACGAAGGCGCTCGTTCTCGGCCGCCAGGGAGACCTGCCGCGCCTGGCACTGCGCGACCTCCGGCTTTAGGACTTTCGGTATGCCAAGTTCTCGGGCTTCGGGCTGCTCCATGAGGTGTAGGAGAGTTGCTGGTGGCTTTGGAGGATTGAAGCTGGTTCAGCTGGTTCAGGATCGAGCACAGCAAAAAGGCCCTTGCTACCGTTTCCGGACATGCCAGGCCGGGCTACTGGAGCTTGGGGTGCACTATGTCTGGCATTTCACATCTTTTGCACAGGTAAGGCGCTAAAGCTGCTCAACCCAACTAGCAAAACCCCATGGCCGATGCTCTCCTCCTCCAGCACTCGCTGCATCTGCTCGCGCTGCTTCTGCTGCGCCTGGCTGAATGCCTGACAACTGTCCATGCACGAGGTTTGGACGGATGCGCTAAGGAGGATGAACAGGCTCTCTCTTGCTACCTCTGCAGAACAAGGACAAAGATGTGCTCTGATGCTCTGCTGACATGGACGCCAGAACTTCCAAACTTGCCCCACAGAGTGCTTACAGCGCTTACAACTGCCGCCTTTTGAACGACACTACACATTGCATAGCGTTGCATCCCACCTGTCACATCCACATTCGCAGCCACGAGGACCCCGGTGACCAATGAACCATAGAGCCATGTCAAACCCAGTGCCCCCCTCTCCCCCCCTCCCCCCAGCAAACAAGCCTGCTTCCCCTTGGCCCACAGCTCTTCGACTTTACCCTGGGCAAGAATATTCGGCTCGGGTTCCCGGTGCAATGATTCTGGACGGCATGCCTGAATGCTTCGGGCTTACGAACTTAGGGGCTTTGAGTTTCGGGCCTTCGGGTTTCAAACGTTTAGGCTTGAGGGTCGACAGGTCGCGGGATCTGTGCGTAGGGTTCTACCTAGAAAGGGATGGTGACCACATGGAGAGCAGTCCTGCACCTTCTGCTCCACCTCCGCCAGGACGACTTCTCTCATGGCCTAAGGACCAAATCCCAAGACGAAAACCCTAACAATTTGGCCTGGCTCAAGCAAGATGAGCCCTGGCCTGAATGAGACTCTCGTGCGGGACTTCAGGGCCCAGCTGTCTGAGCTTCTCCTGTGACAGCTCGGCATGCTGGGGCCAAGCTTAGTTTACTCCAAGGTCACGTTTCAAGTGTTTTTGTACTGTTCCTCCGACTTGACCATGATTCAACATTGGAGCCGCAATCCCTTCGCAGAGTGCTGCAGCTCTGGCCCAAAGAATCTGAAGACCGCAATCGCAACCCTATATGCCCTTTTCCTCCAGACTCTGCAACGACATCGGCTTTGCCTGACAGGCTTTGGAAGCATTCGGAAGCATTTCTTCTGTGGTGCGAGGCTGGGCCTCTGATACGCAACGGTTCGGAGCTTAGTCCAAGACTGTGCAAGCACATTTCTCACATCATTGATTGCCTGTGTCTCTTATCCGACATTTCCCAATCCTATAGATTTGCGTACACTACGCAGGTTTCACATGGTCAAAGCCTTCAGCATCGTGCGAGATGTCGGGCCTTCGAGTAAACAGTACACGGGCCCTGTGACAGGCACTCCCTTTCCTGATTCGCAAATTTTGGGAGACTCGAAAAACTCTGACAAGGGAGCTTGGAGCGAAAAACAGCTGAAACTTCACCAATCCATACGGGCCCTGCCACTCGCATCCTGCAAATCGGCAAGGTCTTGACGTGATCAGAACTCATGCTGAAATTTCGTCTGTCCAGTTGTGCTCCTTGACAACTGATCTGCCCTCAACAATGACGCTGTGCCGCTATGCCAATTCTGTCCAATTCTCAGAAAACGTCGGCTTCTCACACTTGCAGTCACTTGCAAGTCGGTTTGCCAAAAGGGTATCGCAAGCTTTCAGGAGCCATAGGCGGCCCGCATACATCGCGCATCAAACGATTGAAGTCTTGCTGAAGCAGCCCGAAGAACCTCGAAAACCAAGCCCAAAGGTGCAACAAAGGGGCCCAGCCTCCAGCCCGGGTGGCGAAAGGAACGTTGCGGCACTTTTCATGGCCTTCGTGTGCAGGTGATGTGATGTGGGCTAGCAGCCATCCCATTTGGGCTGAGCCCTCAAACTTCAAACCCTCTCAGATCTATGTTTTAGTGTGGTTTTTGAACCTTCGCGCGACACAGAAATCTTGCAACCAAGGCTCAGTCAGATCCAGGGCACTGGGCACTGGGCCAGGCGTCTTTGGGCCAACAAAGCATGGTCAGTAGCAAGTTCCCAACGGAAGTCAAACCCCAACTCGCCTTCACCACAGACAAACTTATCCCAAATCCTCGATCGTGCTTTCTTTGGGACGCACTGTCCACTTGAAGTAGAACAGAACCACGGCAAACACTCTCCTGCTTTTCTTTCTCAAGCACAGCTCCCTGCAAATCCGGCAGCCGCTCAAGCGCCTTCGGCAATCGGAAACAACGACATGAATAAGTAGTGAACCTCTGTTGCAACACGTGCTGGACCTCACATGCATCACAACCTGCATTGCAAGCGGCTACAAGACGGCTTTTTTGAACGTGTCAGGGTCTTGGGCCTGAGTTTCCCACCAATCCCACTCCGAAACCGTTTTTCTCTACATCATCCAAGCGGTTTTCAATGCCATGTTGCCACCAACGCCCTCCAGCCTCGCTGTCACTGGGCCTTGATGGAAGGCGTTATAGATGAGTCTGGGCCTCGCTCAAAAGGATGGCTTGCCGATGCTGGCAGCATGCGCTTCTTTTGTCTCTTGGCAGGCTCTTCGCAGGCCCTTTCAGCTGCCTCACCGCGAGAAGAGGCACAAAGAGGCACAAGGCAAAACCGCGCTTGGGTGAGAAAACCATGTACACCCGCCTGGACTCAAGACTGATGAGCCTTCCCTTTCTGAGACCAGGGTGTCTTCACTGACCACACCAAGCCACACTTTTCCATGGCAGCATAGGTGCAGTAAGACCAATCATGGTACCATGGACCGTAGACAGCATAGATCGGGCAATCATGGTGTTGTTCGTGGTCTGCTTCACTTCCTGCTAGCCACCAATACCAGGCCCGCTTCACCGCGAAGCACTGGGGCAACGAGGGCGACGGCTGGGTTGGACCCGGACCATTTGCTACTTTTTGCTCTCCAACGTGCTGGTCCTTTTGGTCCTTTTGGTCCCTGGAGGCCTTGGAGGCCTTGGAGGCCTTGGAGGCCTTGGAGGCCTTGGAGCCCGCAGATCGGCTTCAAGCATGCAGGCCAAAAGGGGCAGGTGTGCCCAAAGGCCGTGAAGGCTGCCACCATGCACGTTCCAAGAGACTTATCGACCACAAAAAACAACATGAATTGATGTTCTGACAGAGCAGCAGTGGGCAGGAACCACTTAGGTGCCAGAGGCGCCAGGAGGAGGCTTGCCAAGGCAACACAAGAGTTGGTTACGAGGCTCTCCGCAATGCCCGCAAATAGTTCAACCAAAAGCAGCTCCGGGCATTCTGCCAGCCAATCTTGCACGTACTCCTTTCGAATTTTGAAGTTCTCCCTGTCAGCCAGCCAGAACATGTACGCGCAGAGGAAACCTTTCTGATTGACAGGATGAGGATCGCCGTCTTGCTCACAGAACCTATGGTGTCGTCGATGCGTGTTGGCAAAGTACAAAGGAGGAGGTTTCAGGGAGCAGTTTAAGAGGCCTAATAACTGGGCCTTCTTCGCGACGTTTAGACAGCAGTTTGCCAATAACTGGGCCTTTTTCGCAAGGTTCCAGGGAGCAGTTCAAGCGGCCTAATAACTGGGCTTGCTCCGCACGGGTTGCAGGCAGCAGTTTAAGAGGCCGAGTACCTGGGCCTTCTTCGCGACGTTTAGGCTCGCGTCTCAAACCCTCCCTTCAAGCCCCCCTTGAAGCCTCCCTTTTGAAGCTTCCCTTTAAGCCCCCCGAGCCTCCACTAGAAAACCTAGGGTTTTCGGCTTAGCCCCTTGCCACACGCACTCGAGATGGGAGGCGTCGGGTGCTTGCAGGCCGAAGCCGCTTCCCCTAGCCTCCTGCCACAAGACATGGGTTCTTTGGCCGAGCCCCGTGCCACAAGTCAAAAAACTTATTCAAGCCAAAAACATGCTACTCTGCGAAAATGCGCGGGCAAGCATACGAGCATCAGACATTCGATTGCGTCGTAAAAAGTCTCCACTCCTCTGATTTTCGAACAATGAAATACAAAAACAAAACAAAATTTGAGGAGGGTGGAATTTAGACGAAAGTCCCTTCTCTCTTCTCCCTTCCTCCCACTTTACAGTAGGCAAAATGGGGGGCTGCGCCCTCTCCAACCCCCCCGCTAAAAGCAGAAGGGTGGATACACCAGTTCTGGACTTCTCTGATGTGCAACTGGGGGGGACCCCCCCAACCCCCGCTCTCTGCTTCTAGAAACAAAAAGCACTCTCGTCTCCAATAATGAAATGCAAAAACAAAGAAAGATTCGAGGATAAAATAAAATTTCCTTCTCCCTTCTCGTCTGAGTTTTCAAAATCCGAAGGACCTAGATGGCGTATCGCCTGAAGAGTTGGACAGTCAACACCGTGATGCTTCAATACGTAAAGGAAGGCATCGAAACCGGTGAACAAGTACGCTTAGCAACATAGACGGGAATTTAGAAGGGTATGCAATGGAATTTCCACAAAGTGATTTTAACAAAAAAAGAAACACCCTTTTGCAAATGTTCAACTTAATTGCTTCTGTGGACTTGTTTGCAACGTGCAGTTACTTTTCTTGGTTATAAGCCTTGTTTCAAAAGTTCTGCTGTGGCAAAACAAAGAACAATCCTAAAATTAAGATTTGGAACACTATAACTTTAACTCGTGCAAGTTTTGGCGGTAGAGTGCTGACTTTTGCTGGTCGGTGGCCAGAAGAAGACTAAACCATTGCGCAACTTGAATGTTAGTAGCTTGGATTGCAGCAGATATCGCTGTTTGGTGACTAGCATGCGGAAAAACTGGACACACGTTCCATCTGCTGTGCAAATGCCTGCAACATTTCCAGTAAGGCAAGTGTGGTTCTTGCAGAACAGCAAAAGGGAGGAAATGCCAATGATCGAACGCCATAACAAAATTCTTTTCGCAGTGGAAAGGACATTTTTGGTGCAAAGGATGTGCCGCAAACGCGCAAAGGTGGCCGACGCGTATTTGGTGCGATAATCCAAGGTGTGTGTTTTAAAAATGCCATTAGGAACGCCTGAAGCGGGAAGTGTGCAAGAACTGGGCTGCTTGTGTGCCAGCAAGTACAAGATGACACTCTTCTGCGAACTCACGCCATTCCAAATTTGCGTGGCGTGGCAACAAGTGCTGAGAGTTTGATTCAAGGCGCTTCAAGATCTTTGGATGGAGTGGACTTGGGCTATGACATTGTCAGCGAACCATGTAAGAATGCGGTCGGCCTCTTGACCGATGGTCTTCGGTGCTTATGAACTTAGGCTGTCGCAAGACACCACAGAGATGGCGCCAGATTACAGCCTTGGCGTATGCCGCGACTGGTGCGGCAGGATCCCTCATGTCCGCTGCTCATGAATGGCAGTTATATGCTGGATTACATCTGGTGGAATTTGGGCATCCTCACAAGCACTTTTGATGACCCATCTCGGTATCGTGTCGAAGGCTTTGGCAACATCAAGCGAAAAGGTGATTCCCCCACTGCATTCAGTACGTGGGACACCTTGTTGGCGCCGTTGAACCATAGCTTCCTTGGTAGGAGCATTTTGGCGAACTTTGTAGAGATGTGAGAAGACTCGGCAGAGGGCAGAGCGCCCGCTCACGTATGCATATTGGGAAATGTCTTGTAGGTACGACTCAAGGTATGGCTTCACCATATGAGCCAACATGCCGGCCTGTATCTTATTTAGTGTAGTAAACTGATGCCGGATTACAGGCCGATTACAGCGATGACGCACTTGTGGCAAGGAGTGCCCCCGCCAGGCACCCCTCCAGCATGAACAGGCTTGTTCCTGCCGGTTGTTCCAGGCACTTTTCCAGCAGAAACCGGACGATGCCTCCGCCCTATGCACAGACGAGCCCGCCAGGCTGATCAACAAGACGCCTTCGCGGAGCCCCGCAGCGCTAGGTGCATAATAGGCAAGTGGATGTAAGGGAGCATTTTGAGGAAAGGGAATGCTACTAAAGGACAGTTTAACACCTACACCCAGCACGCTTGCACCGACTGGCCAGACCGTTCGGTTGTTAATCGCCTTTGGTTTGGGGAGCGGCCAGCAGACCTCAACAGTGCGATCCTGAGCCCTCCTACACCCAAAACGCAGGACAACGTGTAGAGTTGCGTCTCACACAGCCGCATGAATTGCGACTCACACAGACGCATGAGGTTCGCGCAGTGTGTGCAAGACGACAGTATTAAGGCTGCACCCCAACCCGCCTGGCACGCTAGGGGAAAGTGCCCGACAGGACCTGGGCATGGACCTGGGCACCTCGAGCCTGTGCACCTTGAGCCTGTGCATGAGCGGGCACCTGCAAACACGCCTGACCAGGAAGGGCCTGTGCAGCTTGAACCTGTGCATTTGCGGACACTTGCGAGCACGCCTGACCCGGAAGGGCCTGAGTGTGTTGGCACCTGCGAGCACGCCTGACCCGGAAGGGCCTGTGCCTCTTGAGCCTGTGCCTTTGCTGGCACCTGTAAGCACGCCTGACCCGGAAGGGCCTGTGCACCTTGAGCCTGCGCATGTGCGGGCACCTGCAAGCACGCCTGACCCGGAAGGGCCTGTGCACCTTGAGCCTGTGCATTTGCAGGCACCTGCAAGCACGCCTGACCCGGAGGGGCCTGTGCACCTTGAGCCTGTGCTTTTGCTGGCACCTGCAAGCACGCCTGACCCGGAGGGGCCTGTGCACCTTGAGCCTGTGCATGTGCAGGCACCTACAGCCACGCCTGCCCCGGACGGGCCTGTGCACCTCGAGCCTGTGCATGTGCGGGCACCTGGTGGCAAGGCTCGTACTCGCTAGGGGGCGTGGCAATTGCACTAAGCGCACTCCACTGTTGCAAAGAGTTGATACGCTGCACGGGTGGGAGAGGCAGGCTTGCTGCTGGGTGTAGGGCAGTTATTCGCATCAACAGGCAAAGGGCTGGTGTAAGCCACACAGTGAGCAGCACAGCCCTCACGCATGCAGTGGCTGGTATAGCCACACAGCAAGCAGCACAGCCACCGCACGCGAACTGGATGCATCAAAGGCTTAACCTTTGCTGCGTTCTCACTCTTACTAGAAGACAAAGGCCAGCGCAATGCGCAAAGCACTTCCTTGGCGTTCTCGCTCTTACTAACCAAGGGAAGCGCACAAACAAACAAACACCCACCTTCCCCGTCCACGACGGCAAATCAACACCAGTCTGCGCATGTGCGGGTACCTGGCGGCAAGGCTCGTACTAGCTAGGGGGCGTGGCACTTGTACTAAGCGCACTCCTCTGCTGCAAAGAGTTGATACGCTGCACGGGTGGGAGAGGCAGGCTTGCTGCTGGGTGTAGGGCAGTTATTCAAAGGCCTAACCTTTGCTGCGTTCTCGCTCTTACTAGCAGACAAAGGCCAGCGCAATGCGCAAAGCACATCCTTGGCGTTCTCGCTCTTACTAACCAAGGGAAGCGCACAAACAAACATCACCCACCTTCCCCGTCCACAACAGCAAAATCAACACAAGCAACATTTAGCGCCCTCGGCCGGGTGGGCCTGACGAGTGCAGTTTGGGCCAGTCGAGAATGATGCACGGCGTTCAAAAGATAAACATTGATCTCTAACTGCGGCAAAAACATGCTCCTATCTTCACATGCACCGCAAAGTTAAAAGGTTTGGTAAAACTAATTCGCACTTGCAACAGAGTGCAGATACCTTACGCCGAAGCTATCCGTACTGCACAATGTACAAGAGACACCAAAACTGAGTTAAACGGAAGGGAGCGGGCGCTCCCAACGTTTAAGAAATTAAAGGCGGAAGAGAACGGGCGTTCTCAACATCAAGGAACGGGTGTTCCCAGCAGTTAAGGAATTAAATGCGATTGAAGTGACAGGACAGCTGAGGGCTCAGTTGACGTCACTTTTGAAGGTTGGGAGCGGGCGTACCCAACAGTCAGTGTGCACCGTACAAAGACTAAAGGGCAAACCAAGCTTGCGGTGTTGAAATCGCTGAAATCCAAAGCCAAGCTCTGGATTCTTCTTGCAAGCGGGCGCCCACAAGGAACTGCGCAATGCTAAGGGGCCCCAGCTACAAAGCAAACACAGCACCAAGCTCACCTACGCCTCCAGGCTATCCCAGAGGGGCAGCGGGGCGGCTACCTACGAGTAGGGTTCCAAGCAAAGCAGGACCTTTAGCAACGGACTCCCACCCCTCCTACGGCTCCCCTGGTGGCTTAACCACCTCGAGCAGACGCGGCCTTGAGCCAATGGGGCTACGGACTCTGTAAGTTATCTTGTGAACGGACGCATGGGAAAAGGGGCTTACATGGGGGCTGAAGTTGGTTCTGGATTGCACTGGGTAAGACTGTTGCTCAACGACGGTAAACAAAGATTGTTCGCATGGTTGTTCCGTTGA